GCTTTACAAATTGAATAGCACATGTTTCTCTAATGGCCAAATTATTCTCAACTTTATCAATGTTAGTACAGATAGCCTCTGCCTTATGACAGTTCAACTTAACAGTGGGTTTAACAATGGGTTTATCAAGGGATTAAATGTATTTTTGACCTGTAATATTCTCATAGGCTTCTCAGTCCAACTTGCTATGGATTTTTTGGGGACATAACCCCATCATAAGTCAAGGATCATCTGTACAAATTAAGTAGAGAGAGTTCTCTTTGCTATTTATAAAAAGCATTCAAAAATGTATTTTGTATACAAATATTATAGGTCTTCTTTTTTCAGGTAACTCAGCATATCCCTTTAAGTGCTATCTTTAAAAAGTCACTAATTTTTCTTGGACCCACTGTTACTGAGTTGCCTGAATTTCCCAGAATAAATGACTTCTTGTAGCTGTTAGCATTTCATGAATCTTATCCTTCACTGGCAGGTGTCACTTTCATTGTGATCTGTCAAAGCAGATCTTTTCTGCTCTTAATATGCTGTCTGCAGTAAATGCAGAAGGGTGGGACTGAAGGTCACTGGGATAAATCCTAAATTTGTAACCTGTACTATCAACAGTCTCACATCTTCAAAATGAAATGTGTGAATTTCCTGGCAGCTTTATTTCTCATAATTCACTGACTCTGTACCTTTTCCTTCCAACTTTAAGAATCTATAACTGGGGAACCAGAACTTAGTGTAATGGCTGTGTTGCTGGACTCCCATGTAGTCTACCACGGTTTGAGTCCCAGACCTGTGGCTTAAACTCATGCCAGGCGCGTGTGTGTACATGCCCAAGGTCCTGAGCCCAAGGTCCTTAGAGAAGAAAGGAGGAGAAGGGATTGCGGAGTGGCCACCCTCCCTAGGGGGTAATTTCTCGCTTTCTGTCTCTCTGTGTCTCTCTGTCTGTCTGGCAAGTGCACATGCCCTACAGCAAAAACCTCTCCAAAAAAGAAAAAAGAATTTATAACTAGGTCCAGCAGATGGCTTATTGGTTACATCACTGGACTCCCACATAGTCGACTGTGGTTTGAGTCCCAGACCCGGCAGCTTAAAACAATGCCAGGAACTTCATGTGTGTGCTCAAATTCCCAAGAGGAGAATGGAGGAGAAGAGATTGCAGCATGGCCATACCCTTTGGGGCAGGGAAGGGGGTTATTTCTCTCTTTCTGTCTCTGTTTCCCCAGTGAGTGCACATACAAAAATTTCTCTCTTTAAAAAATAAAAAAGAATCTATAACTAACTATGTTTGTCAGAATCTATTAGTATTTTCCACTCTTTTCTGTATGTGTATTTAAGTTAGGCTTTTTTTTTTTTGCAATAACTTTTGCACTTATCCTTTAAATTGAAGACTTTAAAAGTACTTTGTAATTTATGTAATTGGTTCAGCATTATGTAGCTTAAATTTAAACTTCATTGGCTCCAAGAATGTTAATTATCTTTGCACAGTACATTCACTACCATTCCTAGATGGGTATTTCAGTAATGCTATAAAACTAAATAACAGTGAAGCAAAAATAAAACCAACTCTGATGAAATTTTGGAAGGAGGAATAAGGGAAACTATATATAAGCAACATACTGCTTCAGGCTCTATCAAAGAATATACTTTATTACAGAAGAGGGAGGGTTTTGTAAAAAATACAGTAGTCCACCCTTTTCTGAGGTTTTGTTTTCCAATTCGAGTTACCCACAGTCACCCATGGTCTGAAAATAGGTGAGTACAGTACAGTAAGATATTTTAAGAGAGACCACATTTGCATAACTTTTATTACACTGTATTATTACAGTTGTCCTGTTATTCATTCTTACTAGCAATCTCTTTCTATGCTTAATTTATAAGTTAAACTTTATCATAAGCATGTATGTATAGGGTATAACATAGTACATACATGGTTGGGTACTATCTGTGGTTTCAGGCATCTGCTGAGGGTCTTGAGGCTAGTCCCCTGCATATAAGGGGGAATAATCTTTTTTTTTTTTTTTTTTAAGGTTTTGGCCATAGGGCATGTGCCCTCCCCAGAGAGAGACAGAGAAAGACAGCAAGAGGAAAAGTGAGAAATCACCCTAAGGAGGATGGCCATACCATATTCCCTTCTCCATTCTCCTCCTGGTGTGATTTTCATGCTGCCAGGTCTGGTACTCAAACCTTGGCTGGCCATGAAAATCCAGTGCCACAACCACCACACCACCTGTTAGCCTCAAGGGGAGAGTCTTAAACCTGCAACAGAATCATGAGGGACTTCTTCATGGCAGACCAGTATAAATGCCTTTGTAGGTTTAAAAACAGGGCTAGTGAGCTGATGGAGAAGCATTCCTGTTTTGTGTTCACGATACGGCTTCCTTCTGTGGGGCTATGTCCAGTCACAACACCCAGAAAGAACTCAAACATAGAAAGATGTCACCTTTTAAATGATGGCAGTTGCCCCTTTTCTTCATTCAGTGGAGATGCCTTTCACTGGACCAAGAATTCATACTGCCATTTTTGATGAAGCATTTAAAAGAAAATCACCAATTTAAACCGGGAGGCCTTGGACCAGAGTTTACAAAAGGAATCTCATTGCTGACATGTGATCTTGACATATTTGGGAAACTTGAATCCCGAAGGGTAGATAGAGCTTCTGGAGAATGAAAATAGTGATAATACTGTTACGTTTTGGGACCCTGAATACAATCTGTAGTGTGGGTCCTCAGGAACTCTCATTCCTGTCTTTAAATTACTACATTATTTTGCGTTCTATTTTATTGAAAGGATACATAGGAGCTGTGTGATTTTTTTTTTTTTTCGGCTGCTACAGCTGTTACCACATCAGTAAGCTGAGGCTAATAACACCTACTTATTTACATTTTGGGGAAATACCTTATATAATAAATGGCTGTTTCATTATAATAAATTATTACCTATATCACCACAGGAAAAGAAATTAAAAGTAGAGTTGTGCAGCATGTGTTTTTAATAATTAAAGGAAACTGTTCTTTAACCCCTCTGAAAATTTTTAGTGTGTTGAGAGTAAGGGGTGGAAGTGTGATTCAGAATGGAAAATGCACAGCAACTGGGATCAGCAGATGGCATAATAGTTACATTGCTGGACTCTCACATAGTTGACAGTGGTTTGAGTCCCAAACCCAGCAGCTTAAAACTCACACAGGGTGCATGTGTATGCGTGCTCCAAATCCCAAGAGGAGAATAGAGGAGAAGGGATTGCGGCGTGATCATCCCCCCAGGGGGTGATTTCTTGCTTTTTATCTCTCTGTTTCTCTCTGTCTCTCTGGTGAGCATACACACCCTATAGCAAAACCCTCTCTGGAAAGAAGGAAGGAAGAAAAGAAGGAAGGAAAGAAGGAAGGAAGGAAGGAAGGAAGGAAGGAAGGAAGGAAAGATGGAAAGATGGAAAGAAGGAAAGAAGGAAGGAGAAAGAACGGATGGACAGATGGACAAACAGCATACAGGGCTGTGGACAAGCTGGTCAACTCTGTAAGCCAGTAGGCAGGGATGGTTTTTCCCTGTGTACTTGTGGTATAGTGTTGTCAGCTCCTGCCCATTTTCAAAGAATGAGTCCAGCTGTCCAGAGTGTGACCTACCTTGACTTCACCTCAAGAGATAAAGAGTGAATGATGGGTTGAAAAATAGCCAAAGTATACATAGGACTTGGGGACCAGGCAGTGGCACAGCAATAAAAGGTGACATTCTGCAAGCCAACCTGCATGAGAAAGTTTCAGATATGTATCCAGAGTACACTGGGCACACATGTGCCCATGATCCCAGGCTGGCAGTGGCAGGGGGTGGATCATGGTGTGGAGACCCCACTGGGGACACTTCTGTCTTTCTTGCCCCTAGAAGAAATAATTGAACTTCTAAAAAATGTTCAAAGTAAGCACATGATTTGATTCTAGGGAGGGCCTGAGAGCTGAACTACTTACAAGGAGGCACTGCCTGAGGAACGCCCCCTTTCTGCACCACTGACCTCCTGATGCAGATCCCTGGTTTTCACTACTGTGAATGGACCACACGGTTGTGATTTTCCATAGTACAAGCAAAACTACAGAAGTTGTTCCTGACTAGAAAGTCTTAGTGATCTTTCAAAGATGGATCATAACGGTTATGTCGCTGGACTCCCATGTAGTCAATTGCAGTTCAAGAACTGGACCCAGTGACTTAAGACCGACACTGGGGATGTGTGCGTGCTTTCCAAAAATCCCAAGAGGGGAATGGAGAAGAAGGGACTGCTGCGTGACCATTCCCTTTGGGGGGTGATTTCTCACTTTCTGTCTCTCTGGAGAGTGCATGCACCCTATAACAAATATATATATATATATATATATATATATATATATATACACACACACACACACACACACATATATATCTTATTTACATATTCATATATTTAAATATATACGTACACATATATGTGTATATATGTGTGTGTGTATATATGTCATATAGATTTAGGGGTGTATATATATGTGTGTGTGTATGTATGTTTGTGTAGGTTGTCTTTTTTCTTACAGTGTAGATACTTCATTAGATTTCCAAACACAGACAGGAGTCAGCTTGTTTCTTTATACAAGTGCATACTTTCTGTATTTCAATTACATTGTATAATGTGAACAAACTGATTAATTATGGTGTTGTGACCAGTGCTCGACTGGCAGGAATTTCTCCTCTGTTGTATTATATTGTAAGTAGGCAGGAACAGTGCAATTATTAGGGGAGCTAGAACTGCTTAACTTAGCTGGCTATCAAAATAATGTACATAATGGTATATATTATCTTGAAAACCCCTTTTTAGAAATAGCCTCATTCCCTGGAGAAAGAAATGTTCATGCTTAGTCAAAGCCTTGTAAATATATGTAAAAGAAAAAAAAAGAGAAGGTTAATATGATATAACAAACATATATATACAGAGCCATAACACACAGGCTTCAAACCTTATTTTTATCACCTACCTTTGTTTTTTTTCTTTTTATTTGTAGGCCCTGATTACATCAAACAAAGATTTCAGGAAGGTGTAGATGCTAAAGAAAATCCAGAGGAAAAGGTACCAGAAAAGCCACCTACACCAAAAGAATCTCCTCATTTTTACCGTAAAGGCACGACACCCCCAAGGTCTCCTGAGGCAAGTCCCAAACAGAGCCACTCTCCCCAGCCTCCCTCCCCAAAACCTGTGAAGAAGCAAAACCCCAGCTCAGGGGCGAGACTCAATCAAAACAGAAGGAGCTTGGCTGATGAGCAAGTGACAGCCATAGTCAGTAAGCCCTTGATGTCAAAGGCCCCCACGAAGGAGACAGGAGCGGTTGTGCCCCAGTCCAAGTACTCTGGCCGCCACCACGTCCCCAACCCTGGTAACGGAGAGCTGCATTCTCAGTACCATGGCTACTACGTGAAACTGAACGCCCCCCAGCACCCTCCGGAAGACGTGGAGGACGATGACAGACCGAGCCAGTCTTCCTCAGCACTGGTTCACAAGCCATCGCCTAACAAGTGGAGTCCCCCTAAATCTGTGATAAAACCAGTTGCCAAAGAAAGCAAAGCTGAGCCAAAAGCTAAGAAGTCTGAACTTGCTATACCAAAGAATCCAGCAAGCAACGATTCGTGCCCCTCTTTGGAAAGAGAAGCCAATTCAGTAAGTCTTGCAGAAAGTGCTTCCTGTTCTTTTCTCCTTTTAGGTTCTTCAGGGAGCAGTGTGGGGTATGTGTCTGGATAACAGCCAGGCTAACAAAGGTCCTAGCAGAATAGAGTTGTTGAAACTAAAACTCAACATGTTTGTGGCCTGAGACAGCAAAGAGCTCTCTGGGCAGAAGTTCCCCTACATTCATTCAGCCACCCACTTTGACATAATTCAGGTAGGTAAGACCTGATCAGCTTAGAGGGGCATCACAGCTCTGCAAGCCTTTGTTAGCACTGCTTGGTGAGCGTCACAGTAACTTCCTGCTCTCTGGTGACTAGAAAGGGATCATAGCTCTGGCCAAGGGCCACTGCCTCCATCACCTCCATGTCAAAGCCCTAGCTAGGAAGAGGACTCCACCAAGTTAATATCATAGCCTTCCTTTGATCCTCACAATAGTCAGCCTTTTTCCTTAAAATAAATCTCCTCTAGACCTTCTGAATTTCTCATATATATTTACCTTGGATTTTTACTTAATTTAGCCAGGCTTTGAAGCTAGAATATTTTTCTTTCCCAGGTAAGAACTGAAAGTTTTCAACAGTTTAAGAAAATTACTTTGGGGCTGGCCCCATAGCCTAGTGTTAGGGGAGCCAGACCCCACATGGCTGACTGTGGTTCATATCCCAGCCTGGCAGTTTGAAAAACATGCTAGGTACATGTATCTGCATGTGTGCCTACAGTTCTGATGGAAAGGAGAAATGGAGGAGAAGGGATTGTGGTGTGATGACAGCCCATTAGGGGCTGCTTTCTCCCTCTCCTCTGTCTCTGAGTGCCCACACACTCTGGCAATTAAAAGAGAAGAAAAGAAATTGCTTTGTTCTTCTAATGTCTATCAATGTAAGAGCTCTTACCATTTCAATTTTCTCATAGATACTAGTTATAATTGTCAATTAGTTTTAAGCATTTTAGATCTGTACAAGTTGAGCATCCCTAATCCAAAAACCCAACATCTTTCAGTGATGCTACAAGTGGACAGCTGACCTCATGTGATGGGTCCCAGTCCAGAAGCTGAAATACTTAGCTGTGAAAAAGTAATGTATGAAATGACCTTTACTGTGTCTGCAGTATATATGAAACACATGAATTTTGTGTTTAGTCTTGGGTTCCATCCCCAAGATATCTCATTATGTATATGCAGATATTCCAAAATCCAACAATATCTATAATCAAAAATGCTTCTGGTCACAAGTATTTCACATAAGGGATACTCAACCTGAATTTTATTTAGCCAGAAAACTCTGTGTTATTGATTAATAGCTACGTCCTTCTTCGAATGAGATTTATTTGTTGTCTGATACGTGAAATTAGTATTTCTCAAATTCTGTACAATTTAATAAGTATTAATAATTACTAATAAAAAAAAATTACCCAACTAACTATTGACCAGGTCAGATGCCCTTGGAATAGAGGTGAAGGATATTGAAGTTAACTTAGGGAAGACGCCACAGCTGACCCAATATTTACTAGTAATTTTGGAGACCTGTTTGTATTGTAATGTAGATTAATATAATGGCCTCAATTTTAATTATAACTTCAATATGCTTGAAATTTCTTATGTTCATTTATTTTGCTATTATCTATAAAGCACTACTTTTTCCACATTCTCGTTTTCTAATTAGCTAAATATAAATTAATCAGATTAACTAGATTAACTCTCTAAGAGTCAACCTCTGTGGAGATAAATGGTTTTTAAAACAGACTAACTTTGAGATGCTGACTGTTCCGAGGACATTCATTTCAAAAGTGTTTTAACATTAATATGTCAGTATCCTGATATTATAACTATAATATTATCATTACTGAATTTGCTCAGTGTAGTAATTCACTTCTCGTTTGACTTTCAGCATCTGTATCCATCCACAGGTTATCAAGGCCTCACTCTATCAGTGCTAGTTTGCCTGGTGTACAAAGTGGAATTCACTGTGTGCAAGGCCATATGCTGACACCCTTGGGCACCCAGTAGTGGGCTTCAGTTGACTTCAGAACTGCACAAAGAGACGCAAATGCCTCAGTGGCCTACTTACTAGACTGAGAGAATAAAGGGAGGAGTTACCTAGCTCTTACCTGTTAGAGTGTCTGTAAAACAGTACTGAAGGTGTAGTTGCTAAATTCACAGTCTCCTTTTTGAAAAATGCATCTGTTTGTTTGTTTGTTTTTAATTTACTAGAGGGTGCATGTGCTTGCCAGGGGGAGGGAGAGAGAAGGCATTTTTCATGAGGGATGATCACACCGCAGTGCTTTATCCTTTTGAGAGTGTGGGTACACAAGTACACGCACCCATTGTGTTTTCAAGCCGCTGGGTCCAAGACTAGAACAGCGCAATTGACCACCCCACCAGCTAGCCCAAAAAGACACCTATGAAACCTAAGTTTCCAAGCATCCTCCCTCTGGGTAAGTCAGATTATAGGTTTCCACTCCTCACCCCAGGAAAGAGAGGAAACACCAACAGCTCCAGCCTCCCTGAGCTTCAGGCCACCTCAGCCTGGTGAAATGTGACTGGAACAGGAAGTTGAGATTGACCTCACACCTTCACTTGAAGATTCTAACCAGTAACAGGAAGTTGCCATGCATAATCCTGGCAACTATATTCCTCCCAGAGTTGGGAAGTGACACAGTCATGATTGGGTAGTCAAGAATGACCTATCAAACAATTGAATGTTCTACACTCAATTTTCAGATAGAAAAACACTGTAAAAGTTAAAGTATCATACATCACAATCTAAAAATTCATGAGACATTTATGCTAAAGCAGACATGAATGAGGAAAGCCAGAAGGAATCAGTTAATGTTCTCTGTGGGCAGCTGAAAGATCCAGATTGAGTCAAAAATCACTGTTTGTAAGGTGGATGACCAAAACAAATCTGTAATTTGAATCAACCAACTTATACAACTGAGGCAATTCAAGCCAGTAGCAATTCAGGCAATTCAGACCAGGGTCCCACACTTTCTGAGTTCAAATCCCAGCTGTGTGATTCTGGGCAATTTTCCTCTCTGCTCAGTGCCTTGGTTTTTCTCATCTGTACCTATCTCATAGGGTTGATGTGAAGATTAAATGAGTTAATACTCAAAGTTCATAGCACAGTACCAAATACTGAGTACGTGTTCAAAAAACACTGACCATTATCTTCAGCACTGTACTCGTCAAAGGATAAATAGTTCAGAAATATTCCAATAGATTTGTCCATCCTCAAGATTACCCTGGACATTGGTCTCCCAGAAATACAGAAAATCTTCTGGAACACAGACTAACACTTTAAAGCCAGTCACTTTTTAGTGAAAGGTAGGAGAAAGGCAGGCATGGGCAGAGTTCACTCTCAACCTTCACCAACAAATTTGTGGCCTCAATGGGCAGTGTCTACATGTGGACTCGGGTCTCAGGTCGTGCGTTCTGTGTGATACCAATGGCCTTTGTAAGGTTTTCTTACATGGTAACTTTGCTAGGAGCCAGAAGAGGTATCTTTAGAGCCTTATCATCAACTAGACAAGTGAGAATCCTGCAAATAGGAATCTCAACCCATTCTGGAGATTGGCTGCACTTTTTCTTAGCCATTACTGTAATCAGCTCCCAAGTTTGTTTTGAGATTACCTGATCGTTCTTTTGATTTGGTATAAAGCTGAAACCATCCCAGTCAAAGCAGGTTTAAACCTCTATTTAAAAAAAAGCAGATACATACGACTTTATTTTCTAAATAATTATTTACTTTTAATGTATTAATTATTTTTAGTGTGACCAGAGAGAAACAGAGAAAGAGAGAGAATGAGAAAGCAAGGCGCCAGGTCTGGGACTCAAATTGTAGTCAGCCATGTGGGAGTCCAGCTCCCCAACCACCATGCTACCTGCCAGCCCCATATAACTTTATTTTTAATACTAAATTAAGTTTTCACTTTTTAGTTAGAGAAGTTTTAGTTTAGATTTAACATAAATCAGGCTATCTCTCCTAGCAGAAAATTACAATTTAAAAAGAATGACAATCTCTTGAAGAAAAAATTAAGTTAGAATTTCTTTATATATTTTGACTTCCTATATTTTATTTTCTAATCACCCAAAAGTTTCTAACCAAGACTTATACTTTACCCTGCTAGAGCATTTTTTGTTAACACCTGCCCCAGTCAATACTGAAAAGCAAGACTTTTTTTTTTTCCTTTAGCTAATTTAAGCTACAACTGGCCACCACAGTCACATTTATGGGACTTCACCTTAAAGCTTTCAGTCCTATCCCCGTCTAGGTATTTGACAGTCACAGAGGTCACAGCTTGATACCTGCCTATTAAACATAGTATTCCAGAATTTATTTTTCACCTACTTGCTGTTTGAACCTTTTATGACTAGTTTACTCTCATCTTCACTGAGTCATCTTTAAAAATAGCTTAATAAGGGCCAGCAGGTGGCATGGGGCTAAGGTGCTGAATTCCTACACAGCTGACCATGGTTCAAGTCCCAGATCTGGAAGCTTGAAAATCATGCTGGTCATGTGTGTATGCACATCCAAACTTCCAAGAGGAGAATGGAGGAGAAGGGATTGCAGCATGGCCATCCCTCCAAGGGTTGATTTCTCACCGTCTCTCTCTGTCTCTCTCCAGCCAGCATACATACCCATGACAAAAACCTTAAAGAAATAAAACATAGTTTTATAAATGGTGTTGCACTAGCAGGATAAATATATGTGTGTGTCTGTATCAGAATATATGCAGGATAAATATCTGTGTGTTCAATATACACATATACAAGGGGTCTTCAAAAAGATTACGAGAAATGCACATTATCAAAAAAACTGCATGGATATTTTGTACAAAAGTAAACTTGTATTTTAATTCCACTTTTCTACAAACTTTTTGAAGTCCCCACACATCACTTAATGACAAGGATGTGTTCTGAGTCATGTGTTATTAGGTGATTTCATCATTGTGTGAACATCATAGCTTACTTACACAAACCCAGATGGCATAGCCATCTATATTATTTATAGGACCACTGACCCGTGTGGCCCAGCGTTGACTGAAGCACCATAATTTGGCACATAACCATATATTATTTTTTACATCAAGCACTAATTTATTATTGATGAGCAGTACAATAAGATGTAGGCCAAAAATTGAAGAAAGATCATCTAAATTCAACACAAGAAAATGTATATACCCAAAATGCTAACCAATCAAGAGTTATATAGATTTAAAGAATCTATAAGTATATATAAAATGAGAATTAAAGATTCAGAACACCTTAAGCTTTTGAATTTGGCCATCCTAAAAGCACTTTCTCTGTACTCCACTTTCCCGGAGGCCAATGTAAGTTACTGCACTATATATTGTGTTTGTTTTAATCCAGTATTCTCTTCCTCACCTTTCCAATCACTAGATTATTTCAGAAAATAACTTTGAGAATTAAATCTACTGGCCCAGAAGACTTTAAATTCTTAACACACTCATGAGCAAAATGTAATTAAAATATGTAGTAGTAACATTTCCTTTCTCTGGGCTGCCCTGTGACACTGAAAGTTCATCTTCTTTATTTTGTGAGATTTTTGGAGTATCTAACTTTATTTCTGCGTTCTAAGCTAACCATAATTGAGGACTACATATATTAATTTATAACACAACTGTTCTAGAGAGTATTGTTGGTCATTTTCAAGATTTGATATTTTTCTGATACTATGCAAATGATAGGATATTGCTGAAAATACCATTTTTAATAATTTGATAAATAGTTTTTAAACAGGTCTGTGGCTTTAATCTAGTTTAATCTAGACAAAAGAACATGGTCCTCTGAAGTGAAAGAAGACTGAATTTCTTAAATTCTGATTTGTTCAAACAAGCCAAATAACCTTAGGCAAGCACTTACCCAAGCACTCTCCCAAACTCTGTAAAATGGAACTAATAATCACATGTGAAGAACAAACAAAAGATAATCTACTTAGAAATGCTTATCAGACCACTGTTTGTTACCATAAAAACCTGTAACCATTTTTTCTTCTGTTTACTTGGGATTTAGGGACTGGGGTCTTCCTTCTAATAGTCCCTTTCTCAAGGACACCTATTTTTACTTTTCTACCTCTCCATTTTATGAATTATCCTGATTGTTCTTTATTTAGTGCAGTGACTTCATTTCTTTTAAAGAATTATTTCATTTAACTTTATTTTTTTATTTACTTATTTTAATTTGACCTGAAAGAGTCAGAGCGAGAGAGACAGAGAGAGGGGGGAAAGTGAGGAAGCAAGCCGGCAGGTCCAGGATTCAAACTACTGTCAGCCATGTGGGAGTTCGGCATCCTTAACCACCACTCCACCTGCCAGCCCCCTCATTTTTTTCTAGTAGTCAATTCACAGTGCCTGAGAATGTGCTGGAAAATAGAAAGTTCTCATTAAATATTGGTTGCCTGAATGCATTGGGCAACCACACGTGTCATTACACTGCCTAGTGGTGAACGAGACAAGGTCTCTGCCACTGTGGAATTCAGAATCTAATGGGGAAGACAGCATTTAAACAGAGAATAGTAATAAAGTGTGAAAGTATTATTGTAGAGAAAGAACAGGGCATGCTCTACCAAGGAGTTGTGACCTTATGCAGGAGACCTCATAAGTAATGGGCATAAGTGATGGGTGACCTAAGACCAGGACTCCAGTGGTAAGCACTTGACCAAAGGCATTTCCAGTCTTCCTTCCTTACTTATTCCTGCCCCCCAAAAAACAAAACATCAGTACATTAAACTCCTCTATAATATTGTTCCAACTTAGACTTCTTTGATATCTAGTAGAGTACAACTGTTTCCTCACCTATAAAATAAGAAATGAAATTACCTACCTTACTTGCCTAGAGGCATGTAAGAATTGACCAGTATTTTAACAGCAGATACCAAGAACATGGCTTTGTAACAGAGGTGGCCTTCTCCATGGACCAGATCTGTAAAGATCATCTTGCAAGCTTTGTTTGTTTAAACAAGTAAAGTTTGGGGACCTTGGGCTATCTGGTATTTCATTGTAGTGATAGTTATCAAAATAGGAATCTGTGGTTTATTAAATATGATTTGACTTCTGAAATGTTGTGGTTGTGATTAGAGAAATAAACAATTAAACTTGTAAAAGAACTTCTGGAGATATTCACTTTCCACTTGCCCTTATTCTATAAGAGACAGGGCAGTCTTCAGAAGGAGGACAAGGAAAAAGTAAGTTAGAGAACTTCGTTTTGATTTTTCCTAAATTTTTCCTTGAAGGTGTCATGGTTCTGCACTGTTCTGTTTCACTCTCATGCCCTGATTGCATTTAGCTAGAAAACAGTGTTTCCTTACCTGTATTTCATCCTAACAACCAGTGCATTCTAATTCCATTACTTCCCAGCCCAGGTTACAGTGGCCCATCTCAACCCAGACTGTGTCCATTGTTTTCAGGTGAATGTAGTCGATGATTGTGTAAACCATTTTTGAACTAATTCAAGACTGGATTCAAAGTTTAGATATGGGTCCAGCTAAACAAACTGTTGCTATTTTCAGTTTATACTTTTTGGAACTACTGCCGTGTCATCATTTATGCCTGCTTCACTACGACCATGTTAGTTTTCTTATATCTTTGGTAATTGGTCCTGGTCATGTGTATTGGTAATAACATTGATATTAATATTGAAAGTTATGCTTGTTTTATTCTGTTTCATTTCCAGGGCCCTAATTCAGTCATGATTGTTCTCGTCATGCTGTTGAATATCGGGCTGGCCATTCTTTTTGTTCACTTTCTAACTTGATTGGAATAAGGAAAGGTAAGGATAGCCTTAATTTCAATATAAAATCACACTAAATTACATTCTTTTCTCATAGTCAAAGTTACCATTTTTTTAAACAATGACATATTGTCCTTCACTTTTAATTTTGGCTGTGCCTGAATGTGATTCAACATAGTTACTTAATGCTATAACTGTTTTGACCCTTCAGTGAAGCCATGACAACTAGTGGTGTTAGCCCACAGTTCTCTGCAGTGGTGCCGTCAGCCCTTTAAATGGCACACCCCAGGCAGACTCAGACACAGGGAAGGAGGCTTGGAATTAGGATGGGATCGCGAGAGAGATGAAACTTGGAAAATGCAGCCAGAGAACCTGTTCGGTTCCCCTGGGAGTGCTTTGTGGCTTTGGGGTCTTCTGGGAGCTGAAGTACACAGCCGTGCTGGAGAGCAAAACTTAATAATCATTCTTTTTTAAAATCTGCTGAAGCAGCCCCATCCGGCGAAGTTCTTGGCATTGGCTACTCCATCTGTCCTAGCGGAGTGTGACTAAACTGGAAATGTATGGAGCTGCATTTTTTTTTTTTTTTATGGAAGTCAACAGCTGCCTTACTATTTTACCATCTGACGTTTTTAGTAGGGAGCTGGGGAAACGACTGGCCGAGGAATGCGGTCGGAGGATTGTGTTGCTGTGGACGTGGTTCCAACATTCACTCCTATCTCATTAGAAGAAATAGGTAGCAGCATCACTCACCAGTCTTATGCCATGACCTGCTGCTTTAACATCTCCTGGAATGTTCTGGGAGAGAACGTTTCGTTTGCTTGTGCACGACTCTGTTCATTTTTGCTGTTTATTTAAATATGATGAATCGTCATCTACCACCTGTGGTCCTGGCTGGACGAAACACACGTGTTGCATCTAAAGGAAGAAAAACAGCAAAGTGCTAGTGGAAACGTGTTTATTTTGATAGCAATACATCCTTTTTATGTCACTTATTCTTCCTAAACCTGTAAAAGGCTATTTATCTTTAAAATCTAGCAAGACGAAGGCATTAAACCCTCCTAAGAAATCATTTAAACTATTTTTAACATCACTGAGATAAGTTATTTATGCACTTAGGAGAGGCTAAATTTTAAAAGCTGGAAGACAACAGAATTTTAAGAAGTATAGTCAAAATGTTGCATGGATTGCAGTAATCAGTGTTCAAAGGATTCAGTTTCATTGCTGACGTACTTTACAACCAAATAAAATCTTGTCAGTGGCTATGTTAATTCCCATGAAAGTTAAGCAAGATGCTATTAATAACTGCTCTTCTCTTTTTTTTTTTTTCCAACTTTAATTTTTGTTGAATACATTCAGGTAGAGCATAAAGCTGTGTTAAATCACTGCTTCTCAGTTTTCTGCCTTTCATGTTTTTCAAAGTCCTTTTGTAATCTCATTTCAAATATTAAAAGTGTAGACATTTTTATTTTAACTATTTGTCTTTTGCAGTCCTTTGTTCTGAATTATTCTGATTTTTTGCTGTTTTATAATTTATCTTTGATTACTCAGAAGCATGCTTACTTAGAGACTCCACATGGTCTCTATAAAATTATTTGAAAAGGAATCAGGAGAGGGAGGATATCTGTTAAAGCTCTTGAAAATGTTACATTGCAGAGAGGAGCTATTCCTAAATCTTTTCACAATTTGCATGGTTTAATCAGATCCTTTTTACTTTATTAGCTACCTTTATCAGTGCAGAAGAGACGGTTCACATAATTCCCATGTTAGCACAGGTGTGAACTGAATGCTTGTCACCTTCAGGGCAGTAACCCAGTGGTGTTTTTTGCAGAAGTACAATATGTTGAGAATCCGGGGTGTGACCAATATGGAATAAAGAAGAAGGCAGAAAGAGAGCAAATGAAAAATTACAACTTGTATATTTATTTTTTACATTTTGCTTTGACTTTGAAATTTAGGAAGTACGTTTTTACCCGAGAACAAGCGTTTAAAGTTCCTGTGTCAATCTCAGTACTTCCACATCTCCTTCCTAACCCCATAGTTCTTTATGCTGGGAAAGCTGACTTTTTAAAAAAAAAAGTAAATAAAATATTTAATCTTCTTAGTGTTTATTTAAAATGTGTAATGCTTTGGAAACAATGGGTAACAGATAACTAAAGGATATGTTTATAAAGTGAGCATGGTGGTTCCATTTATAAATATATGTATGATTTATAAGCTTTTTTAAAACAAAGCTCAAATCGTTGGTATTTTTCTAAAATGTGCACAGCTGTATTTTACATGAAGGCTCTTTCTAATGGGTTGTTATACTGTACTCTACATTTTGGACAGCACATAAAGTCTGCCAATGTACTTATAAAACATGACTTTGTTTATTTAAAGTTTCTTGCTGTGAAAAAAAGAACTCTCGACCTGTGAGTTCCTTTATTTATAATCCTTGAAACCAAAATGTATAATGTACAGTTTTCACAACTGTATCTGCTCTAATAAAAAAAAAAGTTGGTTATTAATAAAGTTGGAAATGTGTTTTTCTGTGTGAGTAAATGACTGTCTTGAGTTATGGGAAATTTTATAATGGTAGTGATGTTAAAAAAAATTGATTTGCTAAAATGAAAAAAAAAAATTCTTCAAGCAGCAACATGACAAAAGGTAGTTAACAACTGCTCCCCTGTTTCTTCCGACATTTCTTTCATCCTGGACCTTGCAAACAACTTCGTAAAATAATATTCATTGCTCTGTTTAACGCCTTCATTAATTGGATTAGTGCCTTATCCGGGGGTTTTAAGACTGCTCTGTGTTTAAGGAAAACTCAAAGTTGCAGTAAATCTCCCGCCCGCCTGGGTGCTTTTCAATTAATGAAAGTTTTTGGACCACTGTGACTCACATAAATTAATATGTTGCTATGATCCCCACTGCTTAGGTACACTCCTGGGAGTTAAAACATAATGTGCAGTTGAACAGACGTGCCGCCACCCAGACTTCCAGCGCCTGGGCTCCCTTTGAAGCCATCCTAGGTGCCGGGCCGGGCTGGCTCAACCTGTGGGCAAGCGGCCATGCAGGCTATAAAAGGACCTCTCCAAAACAGCTTAAGGCCTGCACCGGGGGAGCAGCCATGATGTTTTTCATTTCCTGAAGTTGTTACTTTTTTTGAGGCCTACAATATTCAAGACCATTCTATAAACAATACACAAAGTATCACCTCTAGGAACAAATAGCTTGATCAACTTTAGCTATTAAGTCTCCTAGCAAATCCTAAAGGAAAAGAATACAGAACAGACTTGAACCAGAGGGCAAAGCACAGGGTGCTAGAGACATTATTGATTCCACATTCGTGTCCAAACCACACAATTTCAGGGCTGAAACCAAAGCTAGGGTGAAGCCTCTGTGGTTGGGAAATCTGGAAAATATTCTGCATGCCCTTTGAATGCATTAACTATTTTTCAAGAGTTGTGGCGAGCAGGCTCCCAGACATAATAAATGCAGTGCCGTGTGCCCCCCTCCTCGCACATTTGGAAGGTTGCATAACCCCATCTTTGCAATGTAATCTGTAGACGTGACATGTTCTGTCCATTTAACAGTTCATCAGACCATCTTGATTATTCCAAGTTTGAGAATTACCTATCCAACATTTCCCTCTCTCCCCAAAGGTACTAAAAAGTACTAAATATTCCATAACTCCTCTAGGGGTCTAACGTACCAGAGTAGGAGAAAAGAGCAGATAACGTAGAATACAGTGGATACCGATAAACGCAGTCGACGTAGAGAAAGTTCTGAGTGTGGTCATGACCGACGTGGATCCTTCTCAAATCCTTATCCCTGGTTTCTTCATGACCTTATTTATATTAAGTGCTTAACACAGTGCCCCACAGGTAGTAACTTCTTTGTACATTTCAGGTTTTACTGTTTGAAAGATACAGGAAACAAATCACTAAATTCCTGTTAGCTAGCTCCATGGCCTGGTAGATAAGACAGCCAGACCCCACATGGTTGACTGTGCAGTTGTAGTTCCGGACACAGGGCTTTGAGAAACACACCGGTTTTGTGTACATGTGTGCCCAAAAATCCCTAAAACAGATGAGGTAGAGGACATTGTGATTTTAACCATTTACCATGGGTGGTTGCTTTCTTCTCTCCCTCTCGGTTTCTCTGTCTCTCGCTGGCAAGGGCACATGGCCCCTAGCAATTAAAAAATAAATCCTATTAGTGTCTGAAACACCTCGAAAAATAAAATGAGATCGCATTCTAAAGGCCTCTATACAAAAGTTCATTATGCTCCACTTGTATAATCTTTCTCTGGTGGTGATCTGTACGTCTTTCTTACTGTGAAAATCAAAGGCCACACCTACAGGATGCCTTCTCTAATACTAACTAACATGCAATTTTCAGTGGAGGAGAATATGAGACTTTGGCCTTACAAAGAACTTTCACATCAGTGTGTCATTGGATTCTTACAACATCCCTGTGAAAATTTTCCTGCCGTTGAATGATGCCCGAGATTGCTTAGCCCAAAAGATAAAAGTCTGCCTCAGAGCCCCAGGTCTGACTCTACATCTTGTGCTCTTTTTCATTTCATATACTGGCTGGCATTCTACATGGTCATGCGTCATCCGTGAAAATACAGCAAATGCCGTGAAATTCAAGATAGGCCTGTGGGTTGGGATGAGCCCATTTTCATATCTCTATCATAAACTCCTTAATGTCACTGAGTTGATATAACTGAAGCAGTCTGTTAAATAAAGTTCTGTGGACCAGCCACAGTGGCATTGGAGCAACACAATGTTCTGCAATGCTGGTACCATTTGGAAAGGTCGTGGGTTAGTGTCCTCAGGTCTCCCTTGGGCATCGCATGTGCATGCACACACACACACACACACACACACACACACACATAGGATCCTGGCTAGCTGAGGCAGGCGGTTGGATCTCAGCATGGAGACCTATTTTGAGGTGCCTTCCTCCCTTCTTCTGTCTCTCAAGGAAGAAATAAAAGTTTTGAGTAGCATGTGTCAACCCTCCTATAGTTTCATGACTTCCAGTAATTTGTATATAATATTTATATTTGCCTCTTTTAAAAATAATACTATTACTAAAAGTTTAGTATTTAAATGATACCTTGGCATTTTGGAGTCAGGCACATTATAAACAAACTTGGTGTGTGTGTTTGAACTTGATCTCAATAACACAGGAATTCCATTTAGTGCCTAAAAAACCCCAAAAGGTTCAGACCAATTCTGAAATATCTTGATACTGTATCTCAATATTCCATATAAATTTCCTTGACATTTTCTTGACTATCAAGTCTGATTTAGAGAAACTGAATAGAATTAACACAAAAGTGAAGGCCTGATAATGATGATAAAGCTTTTCACTTACTAAGAAAGAGTATGCCCATCCTCGAAGAGATTGGAGGCACAGATGAACCAGTGAAGATTACAGGGCTGTGGCACAAGTCCTTCCTAGTCACCTTCACCCAAGGACATTTGCTCATGAGATATCGAGAACAGTATTGAACATCCAGTCATCATGTGTGCTTACAGGACAGTAATGGGGGCCTTTGGTGTGAGAAATGTATGTAAATGTCACATCCTTGTCACTTGTGGCACATATTTGGAAGAGTCTGATCAATAAATATCAAGACCCTGTACAGTAAGAGTAGAGGCCAACGTGGAACAGCAGATGGTGTAATGGTTACGTCGCTGGACTTCCATGTAGTCGACTGAGGATTAAGTCTGGACCCAGCAGCTTAAACATCCTAGGCATGTGTGCATGCATGCCCACTATCCCAATAGGAGAAGGGATTGTGGTGTGGCCATCCCCCCTGCGGTGTGATTTCTCACTTTCTGTCTGTCTCTCAGCAAGTGCATGCTCCCTAAAGCAAAAGTCTCTCAAAAAAAAAAGCAAAAAATGAGAAGCCAAAGGCCACCTGATTTTCTTCTATTTGGGACATGTTTTAACAGCAGCTTCCAACCAGTAGAGCATGTACCTAGAGGTCATGTAACTGCTTTCAAAGATGGTAAAAGCCAAGAGACACAAACATACCATTGTATGGAGCTAACAGGTGATAGGATCTAGCACCTAAGAACTACGCATGGCATTGTTACATTTTTTAAGTTTATTCCATGTGCAATAA